CGGGGCGAGGCAAGTTGGAAAAACTTGCAGCATTTTCTTCAAATGAAATGCAAAGCGCACAACGCACAACGCAGCAGCCATCGAATGGTGGCGCAGTGGAGCGGGGGCATAATATTTACAAAGCAGTTGTCTTCTTCTTCTTGCTGCTCGCCTTCCTCCTGTGCCTCTTCTTCGTGCTGGCGTGTTGCAAAATAGAAGGCATTTGTGAGTGCAGTTAGCTTTGATCGGCATATGGGCGTGACGCTGCCAGGCGGATGTAGACGAGCAAGCCGGAAGCACCGAGGACGTCGACTGCTGAGCCAAACATCCGCTGGACAATTGATGAAAGCGTTGTATGCAAAGCAGAGCAGAGCAGAGCAGTGCTGAACAGTGTAGTACAGTGTAGTAGAGTGTGGTGCAGAGTGCAGAGTGCAGAGTGCAGAGTGGGGCATGCCGTAAGTTTCGGGGCAAGTAGCTGAGCAAGAAGCATTTGCCGTGTGGAAAACTTTTGTGCAGCTGCTGACGAGGATGCAGCGAGGATGCGGTGAGGATGAACCTCGGTTCCGCTATCTATATGCATGTATATATACAGCTGTATAAGTGTATACATCTTATCCAATTTTTTCGTGTTGCTGCCGTAAGAGGTCCTGCGCATCGTCCTGCGATGTTTTTCGTTTCGTTTCGCGCCAGAAGCAAAGTGCACAGCGCCAAAGTTTTGTTTACAAAGTTTTCAAATTTTTGTGGCACCCAGTTGAACTTCCTGCTGCCTGCTGCCTGCTGCCTGCCGCGCTAAGCGGCATTTACTTCCGGCTGTTGATGATGTCGCACTCCTCCACTCCACTCCACTGCCGACTCCTCTCAGCCGTCTTCTTCCATTGATAATCTAACAATATTCGCAATGGAGTGCACCTTTTAAATGGCTCGCTGGCGCCGTCAGCTCTGTCAGGGCAGTTCTGCGACACCAATAATCCATCATTAGCGTTGCATGCCGCAATTATGTGAGCTGACTCTATTAAATTTGCCTGCCTGCTAAATGATGCAGAAAATGCAGCACTCGAGCTGCTTCAACTTGCGACTGTGGCACTTACTTGTGCGTCTATTTGCCAACAGCGTTTTCTGAACCTCCTGCTGCTCCTGCTGCTCCTGCCGCTCCTGAGGCTCCTGCCGCTCCTGCTGCTTGTCATGGCGTGTAAAATTATGTCAACGCTTGTCAACTTTTATGCGCAGCAAGAAGTTTAGCCAAGTGCCACGCCCACCTTCGAGCCCATGCGCTAAAGTGCCTTTGAGTGTACATTGAGCGAATGAATGAAAGTTTCTTTTGCCGCGCGTGTTTGCTTACTTCTGTGTGCGTGTGCGTGTGCGTGTGCGTGAGTGTATGTGTGCCATTTGTTATTGACTGAGCATGAGGTGCGCCGCTGCAATGGCTCTGCCAGTTGCGCCAAGTGAGTGCAAACTTTTTAAATTTAAATGCGGAATTTACGGTTAGACGGATACGCACACTCGGGCGGCGCACTGGAGCTGCAACTTTAAGACAGCAACTTTGCGCTGCCCTTCAAGTTCAGCCACGCCCCCGCAGTCGGGCGCGCATTAGCGTGCCACAGCGCGCTTTCTTATTAAAACTTATGCTCACTTTTTTCCAAATTGTCCCGGCTAATTAGCTTTCTTAGCAGTCGGTTCTGCCCCAATTTTCCACAATTTTTCCTACTTTTTCTGTTCTTTTTTGCTTGTTCTGTGCTCGCTTAATTTGCAGAGCTGCCAACTCCTTCCCGCTTGCCCCCAGCCTGAATTAAGCAACTTTTACTCGCCACTTTATGCTGCCACAAAGCGACAAAGCAGCAGCCGCGCCGTTGCATGAAATTTGGCCTGGCCTCGCCTTGGAATTATCTTATCTTATATCTTATATCTTATCTTGTATCTGAATATTAGGTAGTACACAAATAGTAACTGTATATCTCTATACACATATATATCGTTTGTTCTCTATGTTTCTGTATGAATGCAACTAAGTAGTGCTAAAAAAAATATATAAATTTATTTATTATTTTCTATTAATATTTAGAAATATATTTTTTTTTAATTTACTGAATGTAATACATTTTGTAGCTTTAATTTCTCAATTCTCTTTTCTTTTATTGTTAACTGCTTAAACACACACTTTTTATTTGTTTTAAGAATATTATTTTATTTTATTTTAATACACTTCATTTACAATGTTTCCTTACAAATTACATTATTTCATTTATAAAGATTATTTTTCTTGCAGTATTATTCTACTAATAAAAATATTATTAAAATGCACTTATTTCATTTGTTTTAATTTGAGTAGTTTTTACATTTTTTCAAGCACTATCCGATCTGATCTGATTGATAAGTCTTACACATATAGATCGGTATATTTCTATGCTAATGACACCAGCTCTGGCAAGCTGAGAAGCAGGCACGTTTAACCCCATAACTGACGCACCACGTTGTTAAGCAGAAGTACACACACACACGCACACACACACAGAGACATACACATATTTGAACAGAGATACACACACTCACAAACCACACACACATATAAGCAATATATAAATATATATCTCATACACAACTTATATGATAAGTGTCTACTCTTTTCCTTTTTCGTCTCTTTTACGCTCTGAAATTTCATTTTCCGATAACAACCACAACAAATGCGCCCAACAACAACAACAACAATAAAAACCACCAAACACGCACACCAACAACAACTGCTAACCATGACACTGTAACAACTCCATCGACAACAATTATTATGTTTTAACCACCAACACCTGCAACACCACCAACACCTGCAACACCACCACCACCACTACCACCAACAACACGCCCAATACCACCAAACACCACAATCAGAGCGTGCCAGTACTGCGCACCTTTGGCGGGCATCACATCGCGTAGCGGGAACTTAACGTGGCCAGCACCACCAACATCAGCAGTACAGCAACAGCAACGGCAACGGCAGCTGCAACGGCAGCGACAACAGCAACCACTACTTGCTCATCGTCGGCAACCACCATAACCACGCCCACAGGCACACCACCATTGCCCCCGCTGCCCAACACATTTATAGCGATCAAAACGAAGAGCGACATCGGCAACAGCAGCAACAACAGTAACAGCAACTGCAACAGCAACGGCAACAGCAACAGCCTCGCCCTGCACAGCGGCAACAGCAGCTTCAAGTCGAGCGGCAGCAACACAAACAGACGATCGCCCAATGCACAGCAGCAGCCGCCGCCGTTGCCCATGAAAAACGGCAGCAAGCAGAGCCAGCAGCAACACGACTCCCAGTACCAACATCTCAGCTACAACATGACACACCTGCAACACCTGAATGCACGCACCAACAACACGCTCGACCGCAAACACGGCCACGGCCACGGCGAGGCCAGCGCTGGCGGTGACTACTGCACGCAAATCAATCCGCACTATCTGCAGACCTTCGACAGCCTGGATCGGGATCACTACAGCGTGACCAATCTGCATGCGCATGGGCATCCGCATCGCAGCCAGTCGAAGTCGCAGATCTACAGCTATGGCAGCAGCGGCACCGCCAGCGACACATCCAACCAGCAGCAGCAGCAGCTGCAGCACCCGCACTACCACAGCAGCAGCAACATTGCACACATTGAGCACCACTACCAGCAACACACTCACTCACACCAACAGCAGCAACAGCAGCAGCAGCAGCCACTGCCACACCACCACCAACACCACAGTCTGAAGCACACGAAACACAGCAAGGGCCACAAGAACAAGCACAGCTCGAAAAACAGCAAGTCTCAGGATGATTTTAAGGCCATGCACAAGCAGCAGCAGCAGCAGCAGCAGCAGCAGCAGCAGCAAAAGTGCGTCAAGCAGCAGCAGCAGCAACAGCAGCAGCAGCTGTCAAGCAAACGCACTTGCAACAACCAGCAACCACAACAGCAGCATTATTCCAGCTCCAGTGATAGTTTACCATTTGATAATAACTATTATTAAAACTGCACACTGCACACACACACACACACAGGCACACATACTAAATCACTCACACAGTCACACATTGCTGTCCCAGTTGTAAAGTGTTGTCGTTGCCCACAGCGCACATTGGAAGCCACACACGCACGCACATACACATATACACATATACACATATATATATATATATATATATATATGGTAAATAGCACACACACACACACATTAACACCGAGCATTGTGAATTGCCCTTGATTTGGTTATTCAGAGTCTGAAATAATGTACTACACTGCGTATACGCAACGTGCCAAAACTCAAGCAGACTTCTGTGCACCGCTCACACAGACACATACACACACACACACAGGCAACCACACACACATACAGACACTTGTAGGCCATGCTGCTCTGCTAAAGGCAGCTGTTTGTGTTGCTGTTTTATTGAATTGAAAGTCGAAAGCTTCAAAGAATATTTAAATGGACTTAGCATAAATTAATTACAACTTAAATATTTTATAAACTAATTTAGAGCGTAGTCGAAATACCCAACAAGAAATCTATACGATGACGATAGTAAATGGAATGTAGGTCTTTGCAGCCAATCAAAAAACAGACAGAAAAAAAAAAAACAAGAAATCAAAGTATGAAAAGTCATTTACTGTTAAATGTGGTCAATATGTGTGTGTATATACTATATAGCTAATCGATAAGCATAATTAGTTACTTAAGCTATATTTAGTGATTAAGATTTCACCCCTGAACCTCTGCCCCTGCCCCTGACCCAAGCTCACCAGCTATCCACTTCTACTTGGATCTCTCTCTCCCCCTCTCTCTCTCTGTCTGTCTCTGTCGCTCTATCACTCTTCCTTTCTACGTCGTAGTCCTTGCTAATCAGCAGTTTATTTATTCGTTTCATTAACAATTTGCTTGAATTAACTGCCAACAACTCGTACACAACATCAACAACATCAACAACAACAACACATACAAACAACAACAACTACAACATGCAACACTGTGTCCCACCTATTTAGTCCTCCACCTTGGCCAGCGCCAGCGCCCACGATGAGCTCGGCAACCTGCTCTGGCAACAGCAGGCGAGCGAGGTCGTCGAGCAGTACCCCTGTCCGTTGCCGCCCATACGCCACTGCCATGCCCACACGCACGGGCACCGGCCGCACAGTGTGGGCGAGCTGCTGTCGCCCGAGCGGCGCCACCAGCGCGACCTCTTCAGCGGCGACCTGGGCATCCCGGAGATCCAGACGCACGTGGGCAGCATGGTGCACACGTTCGAGACGCTGGCGCTGCAGCGGCGCCTGGCCGAGGCCGAGCAGGAGCGAGACCGCGAGCAGAGTAAGTATGAGCTGCGCGCGAGCAGCCACAGCATTAGCAACCACAAGAGCAGCAGCGACGCCAAGTACAGCCAGGTGAAGCGCAGGTCGCAGGAGCTGCGCCAGCGCCTGCAGCATATGCAGCGGCAAAAGCAGAAGCTTCAAGCACAGGCACATGCCCAAGCACAGGCCCAGTCACAGGCTCAGGCACAGGCACAATCACAGCATCAAAATCAGAATCACACTCTGACTCAGAGTCTCCATCATCATCGTCATCGGCATGGCCAGTGCCCACTAACCGCACCCGCACCCGCACCCGGCAAGCTCATCAACAGCTGCAGCACCCACAGCCTGGCCAGCCAGTTGGCCACGCTGCCACGCCCAGCAGCGCCGCCCACGGGGGCACACTCCATCGAGCAGCTGCGGCAGCCGTACGACGACTATCGCAAGAACCTGTTTGGCAGTCGGGTGAGCAGCGCGGAGGAGCTGCAGGACGAGACGTACATTGTGAACGCGGCCTTTGACGAGATATTTGCCAACTACCAGGACGACGACGAGGAGCAGGAGGCGGAGCAGAAGGCGCGGAACAACACGCTGCAGGAGACGAGTCGCAGCTACACCAACAGCAACACGATTACGAACACGGATGACCTCTTCGACGACGAGCACATGCTGGTCAGCCTTAGTGAGCTAGACGATGATGTCTTTGCCAGTCGCGCCCAAACTGCTTCCACCACGCCCACCACCGCCTGCGCCGGGCGCACGCCGAAGCACAGCCAGAAGTACGCGGCGCCAGCGCCGCCGATGCTGCAGCAGCGCTCCAGCACTCTGACCAATCTCTTTGAGCGCTTCAAGGGCAGTAGCTCCACAGCGGGCACCGTCAACAAGACGCACTCCGAGCAGCAGCTGCAGCCTTTGCCGGCCGGCTCGGCAGCCGCCAAGCTGCACAAATACGCCGGACAGCCGGCGCTGAACGAGGAGCCGGACTTCAATCGTGGCTCTACGTTGAGCCAGTCCTTTGTGCGCCAGCTGAAGCGGGTGTCCTACAAGCAGAAGCGCGCACCGCCTGCCCCGCCGCCCAAGCCGCGCCCCAATGTGGCCCACGTGACGCCACTGCGCAACGCCCTGATCTTTCCCAAGCGCTCAAAGTCCTCCAACGAGCTGCTGCTCGACGACCTGAATGTGCAGGCGCGTAAGTATTTCCGACGGTCCGAGCACAGCGCCGCGGTCTAAGGAGCCACCAGGAACGTCTCGAAAAGCAGCTGCACCGTCTCTCACCCGATTTGCTCACCTGCTAACCACAGTCATTCTATACGCATCTGAATACTCTTACCAAGCCAATCGAATTTTAATAAATTTTCTATTGATTCAATTTCTGGTAGAGGCGACGCTTCTATAGGCTAAGTCTACCCGCCCCCCTCTAATGACCCATGATAGCGATACCGATAACGATAACGATAACGAGCTCGATACCGATCACGATACCGATCAAGTTACCATCTAACTGTAACTAAGCCGGAGTCAGCGTAGTCACCCGCCGTCGCAAGCTAACAATCGAAAGGAAAGACAGAACGTTTCTCCTAGCGTGGAACGGCTAGAACGAACCCAAAGAGATTTGCGCCATAATTGGATTGATTCTCGATATTTCAGCACTCTCAATTGAGTAAATTACCATAATAACATTAAGTACTTACAATATTTATACTCATTATTACGTTTGTGCAAAGCGAACAAGGCAAAACCAAAAGAAAACAGAATATAGTTATATTTGTAAGTCCTCAGCTTATACATACATACATATATATATATAAATATATATTTACATATGCGAATCAAAATACTATATAGCAAAGTGCAAAGCCCAGAAATCATTAACAAATTATATATTCATGTAAAAATGGAAAACTTTCAAATCAAGTAAAAGTTGTGCCCTCAAAACTTATGCATGTTATTTATGTAATTTTTTCAAAAGCAAAAATCAAATTATATATCTATATACATTTATATATACAAAGTTCGCATATAACATATACTAACTATATGGCAAGTAACAGGAATTTGTGTAATTACGTAATCTGTTGTATCTTGTAGGCTACACGTAACAGAAGCTAATGTAAGCCCATAGCAAGAAGCAAAACATAACTAAACCTTTATGTGCATGCAATAAAAAACATCTAAAATTATGAACTTGTATTTGTTACTGGGGAACAAGAACAAGATAATCCGGCTTGTAGAGCACTTATCCATTCCATTCGCTCATTGCACTCTTAAGAGGGATTCAAAGGTAAGTAGGAAAACTGGACAACAGTTAGTCATTTCATATACAAAAATCTAACGTGATGAGACTTGAGTTAAGTACACTTTAAGGTATAGCCGGCAAATAGCAAAGAAACTCTTGTATATACAGAGCGAGAGTCTAATATGTTAGAAAATGTATGCATATCTGATCTGAACAAAGCTTAAAAAGTCAGAAAGTCAGAACTTCGATTGAGAAACTAGTTTTTATTTATTTTAAATCATAGCAAGCGAGAAAATAATCTGATCAGAGGAGATTTGACTGCGGGTCAATAAACGACTTGCTGACAGTTTGATTCACAACGGACAAAAGATTTTTTAGGCTCCACATCTCAGGAGATGGCAAAAAACAGGACAGGGATCCTGCACCAGTACTGCGAGAAGACTTACTCGAGACCGAGGATTGGCCTAAAAATGAATCAATTATCTAGTAAACTTTATCTGTGTGAACTGAACCTTACATATTTTTCATCCTCTATGTATCCTCTAGTTAGCTCTATAGCTCTCACAACTACATATATACATATGTATATATTTAATTCATTTATGTTTTGATTAGATTAAAAGTAAATAGTTGTAATTTCCTATAATAATAAAAAGAGAGCCTTGCTCTCCAAAACAACCCAGAGAGAATTATTCATTCGGTTCGCGTCTGGCGAATTTAGATAGTGCCCAGGCATGGTTTTACATATAAAAGTATTTTTGGTAACGAACAACATAGCAGCCAATAATTGGTTATTAATAAATAATCATATCATCTTTAATGTTTGACTTTTATGAATAGCTGAATATCTCAATATAAATAAATATTGTATTAAATAAAAGTACATTAATCTTACTATACGTCCAATGTATTCAAAATATTTAATATTGACTTTAAAACTAATCTTGATTGACGACTAAGTAACATTGTTTGCTCTTAGGTTAACAAAACGTTCAACTTAAACCTAGTTAATTGCAATGTATTTGCCCAGTAGCTTGAGCTCAATTGATCATTCTAGTATATGTAATCTACGAGCTAGGAACGGAGCTCTACAGAGGCTGTTGTAGCCGCAGACTGGCAGGACTTGAGTTGATGCCTCTTCAGCTGAATGAGGCGACTGAAGGTCTTCTGGCAGATGCTGCAGCTGTGGCGCCGCTCGCCCGAATGGATGCGCTCGTGAGTGCGGAGCACACTCAACTGGGCAAAGCTGCGATCGCAGTGAGAGCAGGCATATGGGCGCTCGCCCGTGTGAGTGCGCTTGTGCAGCTCAAGCAGATAGACGCGGGAAAAGGTGCGCTGGCAGACGGTGCAGGTGTGTGGTCGCTCCTGCGTATGCAATGAGGCAATGTGCCGGCGCAGATTGCTGGACTCCACGAAGCCTTTGCCGCAGTACTCGCACTCGTATTCCAGGAGCTTCAGATGCCGCTTTTGGTGGATTACAAGTCCGCCGTTTGTTTTGAAAGTCTTCGGGCAAGCGTCGCAGGCAAAGGGTCGCTCTCCATTGTGAAGGCGCAAATGAATGATTAGGCTGGATGCGGACTGCATGCACTTGCCGCAGTGCGTGCAACGATGCCGTGAACGCATATCAGGGGCAGGTGCCTCGGATCCACTGCAGCTGTGCTTCTCCAAATTGATTTGCTGTGTAAAGCCATGGTCACATCGAGTGCAGCTGAATATCTCTGCAGCGGGATGCACTTTGCCGAGGTGCCGCTGCAACGTGGCCGCCTGGTGAAAGCTTGCGCCGCAGTCATCGCAACTGAAGTTGGCATATGATGGTTTCTCTAGTCGCTTCTCTTTATCTGATGTATCCACAGACAGCACTGTTTCTTCTGTTGGCTCCTCCGTCTCGCATTCTTCGTAGAACTCAACATTCTCACTGGGATCGAATTCAATTATATCATCTGCACTTATGGTCTGCTCTTCATCTTCATCTACCACCAGGTCCTCGGCTCCCAGCACGTTTATAGCCATTGCTGCCTCCTCATCCTCCAACCGCTCTGCAGTTCTTTTCCGCAGTTCTTCCTCCGTTGCTGCGCATTTGTCGCGGAACTTGGCAGAGATGAGCAGCTCCTTTGTACACTCCTGGCACAAATACTTTGGATATGCATCCCACTTATCCACCTGAAATAAACAGATCCTCTATAAAATAATCTATTTTAGGCAAATATTTATCATCATATCACTTTAATTTCGCCACAGCGTTCGAGCAATGTGCATAAGTCTGTCTGCTGCTCCTCCACATGCTCGTAGATGTCCACCAATAGCTCGTCTTGCTTTAGACAAGCGCGACACAGCAATTCACTTAGCTCTGCGGGCATCTCTTCATTATTATTTATCAATTTAATTGGAAATTCAAATTTACTGCATTTATCTGTACATGCGGAAGTGAAACATATTCGGGCATTTTTAGTGTATTTTATATATCAGCTGTTATTGCTTCTGTTATCGATAATAGAGATGTGAGTCAAGAGCGGCGGGTATTTAAAAAATGCTGATTCGATAGTTTTCATACAAGCGATATTTTGACATAGATAAATTATTTAATTTAGTAATTTAGAGTTATAAATATAAAAATAAATATAAAAACAGATTCCTTTTTTTGCTATAAGCATTAAAAATAAATTAAATATTGCAAATTAAGCAATGAACAATTTATTATATCAATTACATAGGTATATATAATATACATGTATTACAATATCATTGCGTTTATTCAAGCTCATCAAAGTAGCCACAATGCAAATAGCGTTTCAGAGTACTCCTAACATCCTCTAGATAATCATCATTATAATATAGACTTAACCTCAGGTTTTTATCCATAACCACTTCAGATATCTCAAACTTTCCCTTCTTCATTGCATGCATCACAGGCAAAAATGTTGCCAACAAAAAGAATTCTATAATAATAAAAAGGGATGGACAAATTTAGAAATATATAAAAAAAAAAAAAATGTTAGAATGGTGCACTCACCAAAATACTTATGTTGAAATATCTGACGTCGAAACTCGGCTAATGTGGGTAACTCCCCATTAAAGTTTATTTTTTTCAAAGTCTCCGTAAATGTAGAAAAGTAGATATATATTAATTCGTCGCGTTGTGAATGCCGTTGCTCCGGCGACAGCATCTGATAGATAGAGTAAATGATATCGATAGGCATGGGGCCCACATTGCTCATTTGGAAGTCCACAAGCATGCAGTCCTCAAGTGCTCCGCCTTCCTTGTTGTACCTGAACATTAAGTTCTTGACATGAAAGTCGCCGTGGCAGAGGACATAATAAGCATTTTCTTGGGGATTTTCCCTGTGGCCCATAAAAGTTTCCCTGCAGCGCTTCATATAGTTGGGCAGAATTTTCTCGAAGTAAGGCTTGTAGGCAGTCAGATCTGGTACCGCTTCGAGCATTTCGATGAATATGCCCATCCCACTCAAAAAGAATTTATCTCCATCGATTTTCGGCAGCTCAAACAAGCTGTATTTCAATTCCTTAAGGAATTCTGGTTGCTCTTTGTTCAACTTATAGCTCACAGCATGCCACTTGCCCAGCTTACAGTATGCACTGCGAACCTCTTCGAAGGTCGGCTCCCTATCCCGAAGGACGGTGTAACCCTGTACCAATAGATCCTCAAATATCATCACTTGTCTTGGCTTCATGCTGTGGTAGACGCAGGGCGCATACAATTTCGTCTCATCTCCCACCTCACGGAGTATTTGCTCAAACTTGGGCAGAATCTTCGAGTACATGTTGATCTCGGTTTCGAAGATATGCGACTCACCCAACAGGTCCTTCTTGTGGCCGTCTTGTTCAGGCATGGTCTTGATGATGAGCGACTTGAAGGACTTTTCCCCCTGTGCCCTCTTATACTCCACTCCAGCTCTAAACATGACGCTGGCATAGTGATCGCCCTTGCCTGTGGCAGGTGAGATCTTAACATCAATTATCTCCACCTGTTCGTCATTTTCATGGGCGCTTAGCACGTCTCTGAAGTACTGAGAGTCCAGCCAAGAGGGCGCCTCCAGCTCATCCTGATTGTAAGATTCCGTATTCGGTGCCATTTCGCGGATAAAATCAGTTGACGAAAAACTCAGTCTAAAGATTCTAAAGCAACATAATCTAATAAGCTACACTAGCCGCGTGTGCGAACTTTTATACATCTCGTTATCAGGGAATATCTTAATAACTGCCTCAGTTTATCTCAGTTTCATCAATCTCTTAGCTTGCACAGTCATTGCATTTATTTCCATCGTCATCAGTGAAACAAGTTTTTCGTTTAACGATACATTGATAGCAGCTTTAATTGTTGTCTTGTTTTAAATTACTTTATGGAATTATTTACTTATATTTATATTTACTTTAAGTTTTCGTATTTATAGGCAGCTATGGTAGCAATACAATTAATAGAAAATCGGAACTTCATAAAATTTTCATCAGATTTTCAGAGTACCACTTATTCGGCAACTTATGGTTAAACATTTCTTAAATTGAATAAAATCTAAATTTGTTTGCCTTCTTGATGGCTTGTTGGACAATCCAGATTAAGATAGCTAAGGCAGAATATCTGCCAGGCGAGTTGTGTGATGAATAGTTGCAAATATTGAATTGCTGTGGTGGAGAAGTTTGGCAAGATAAGAACAAACTCATCATTCTGTGGGTCTTCTGCTATCAGTGATAAGAAATATTGCGTAATTATTATTGATGTGGTGTTAGATGATAATAGATGATACGGATTGTTGGCAATTGAAAATTAATTGTTCAGTTTACTTATTCAATCTCATCAAAACTGAACTAAGCAATAGAGCTTCCTTGTATTTCGTTTATTCAAATACATATACGTAAAGCTAGCGTAGTCATTTATTCACATTTATTTAATCAGTAACAGTTTTTTTTTTTTTTTTTTTTTTTTGTGTGTTGTTTTTGTTGTTATTAGTGAGGAATATTGTCAAACAATCTCTAATGACAAAGACAAATGTTGCAATGGAAAATTATTTTTCTTCCTGCAGGTCAAAATATCCCAAATGCAGCATTCGAGGCAAAAGATATTCTAGTTCTGGTTTGTAATCCTTATCCTGATACAACTGCTTGAGTAGACTTTTACCCTGTAGCAATTTGCCAGGATCGTCGCCCTTACGCATGCTGTAAGCTCCGGGCAAAAATATGGTGAACAACATAATATCTATTAGAGAATGCAACAAATTTTATTATATGTTGTGCTATATCGTTACATTATCACTGTCGACTTACCGCTGTACCTCCTATCGAAAATCTGTTTTCGAAATTCTGTTAACCTGGGCATTTCTCCTTGGCATCCGATTTTTTACAAAGTCCTGACGAAGGTATCGAAGTAGTAGTAGAGCAGAGCATCGCAGCTATCCTTTCGGTCATTGGGACTCAACAGCATATATTTGGCGTAGTGCAAGTCGTTGGCTATGGATCCAATGTAGGACAGCTGGAAGTCGAGAAGCATGCAGTCGCTGTCCTTGTTGAACATCATGTTTCGGATATGAAAGTCGCCGTAGCATAGCACATAATACGCGTTGGCCTGTCGATTCTCGCGATACTCCCGAATCACGTCTTACCAGCGAAGAAGAAGGTTTTCTCGCATGGGCTCAAAGTATTTGCGGTACTCTTTTAGATTTTCCTCCTGACTGATCATGTTTATAAAATTAGACAAGGCGTCCTTCGTAAAGTCCTGCTCCAAAAAGTTTGGTATGGTCGTTAAATCAAACTGCAGCTCATCAAATATTCCGGGCTGATCCTTCAATAGCTTGAAGCTAACCGCCTGCCATTTGACAAGTTTTCCGAGCACCGATCGAAGCTCGTCTGTGTTGGCAAATCTGGATTACGTAGTAGCCCTGGGGGAACAGATCCTCAAAAATCATCACCTGCTTCGGGTGCAAGCTGTGATAGACGCAGGTCGCACAAAATTTAATTTCCTACCCGCCTCACGAAGAATTGCCCTGAACTTGGGCAGCACTTGAGTGAACATCGCAATCTCCGTTGGGAATATCTTCGAGTCAGCCAGAAACTCCTTCTTGTGTCCCTCGGCCTCAGGCATTGTCTTAATTATCAACGACTTGGAAAACTTTCTCTTTTGTATCGAATACTCAACATGGACACGGAACATCACACTCGCCGGGGATATCTCTGAATCGGTCACTATTAGACTGGGCTCCTTGAAGTGCTTCACTAGCGCATCCTGGAGGAATTGCTCGTCCAGCCAGGAGGGTGCTTCCAGCTCATCCGCATTGTAGTTAATATTATCGGACATAATGCATGGATCAATAATGGTCAAACACTGTAGTCAGTCGCGTAGCTGTCTATTGACTAATGGAGAATCGAGTACTTTCCCCCACTTATATTATTGTTGCTATCATGAACTTTTGAAGCTCCTTTAATTTAATGTATGTATATATATACATATATATACATATATATACATATATATACATATATATACATATATATATATATATATATATATATATGGTGGTGAAATATACACTCGATGGATCGTTTTACTGATTATTAAGCAATATCATAAATAATCAAATACATGTTCTTTTTTCTATGCAGTGATTTATTTTTATAAACTTAAGTTAATATTTATGGATAATAATTGCAAATATGTATATATGTAGGACAAAATTATTCGTATTATTATTAATTATCACGGTCTAAATAAATTAATAAATTTAATTTAATAAATTAATAGAGTAAGTAAATGAGAACAGCCTTTGTCAAGAGTAAAATTTTTGACTTATACTCGAAAGCTTTGGAATTTATAAATTATTTTCAACTAAAAAAAAAAAAATATAAAGTAAATATCTTTTCTCCAAACAACTTCTGTTCCAGTGAAACAAGAATAAATTAAATTCATATTGGATTCACTTAATTTATAAGGTAACAATAAGTCCATTGGGACAGTGTAGACCTACAATGCACACATATTTAATCAGGATTCTATATGTCCCTGAAGTAGCCTTGATCAGTCATACGCTGCAATAGGCACTCCACCTCCTGCTGGTAGTCCTCATCCTTGTACATACTCGTGCGTCGTCGCAAAGGGTCAATGGCATTCTTCCGGGCAGCAATTTGCATGGGCAAAAACGTGGTCAGCAAAAGAAACTCTAAGTAAATTGAATTTAATTGAATTTAATTTAAATCTGTTTTATGTGAAATATTTCTTATATTCTGCACTCACCATTAAATCTCTTATCAATCATCTGGCTCTGGAATTCGTCGAGTGTGGGCGCCTTGCCGAGGTAGCCAATCTTTATTAGCGTGTGCTGAAATCTCTCCAAATAGAATTTAATTAGCTCGTCCCTTCGCGCTCCACGCTCTTCGGAGGAGAACAACGTGTACATCGCATAGAGGAAATCATTAACCAGGGGACCCACATGGGAGAGTTGGAAGTCTATCAGCATGCAGCTGTCGCACTTGAACATCAAATTCCTGATGTGAAAGTCGCCATGGCATAGGACATAATACGAATCGTCTCGGGGGCTCTGGCGATACTCGTTCAGTGTATCTGCCCAATTCTGGATCAGATTTCTTCGCATGGCCGCAAAGTACCTTTTGTACTTCTTCAGGCTCTCTACTTCGTCGAGCATGTAAATAAAGTTGGGCAAAGCGTTTGCTATGAAGCTTTGATTCAGAAAGTTGGGCAGCGTAGCCATATTATATTGCAGGTCCTTAAATAAGTCCGGATCCTCTTTCAGTAGCTTGTGACTAACTGCGTGCCATTTGGCCAGCTTGTCCAGAGCGCAGCGCAGCTCGTCCGAGCTGAGAGGTCGATTGCGAATCACTTGGTATCCCAGAGGCAGCAGATCATCGAAGACCAGAACCTGCCGTGGCTCCAAGCTGTGGTATAAGCAAGGCACGCAGAGCGCCGTTTCCTCACCTGCCTCTCGCAGCACCGCCTCAAACTTGGGCAGAACTTTCGTATACATGGCGATCTCCGTCTGGAATATGCGTGACTCACCCACCATTCTTCGCTTCATGCCGCCCTGTTCCGGCATTGCCTTGACGATTAGCGACTTGCCAGTGCTTCCTTTGTCAGTTGAGTACTCCACACAAGCCCGGAACATGACACTCGCATAGTGATCCCCCTGCGCACTGGCTGGCGACAGCCTGAGATCGGTTAACCTTAGCTCCGGCGCCTTCTCGTAATGCTGCAACACTTCGGTAAAGAACTGAGAGTCTAGCCATTCCACCACCTCCAATTCATCGGGATTACAGCTCTGATTTGCAGTCATTACTTGTGATCCAGTCATCAGTATTTGCCGGCTATTTATTTATACGATTCACTTGCTTCAGCACTAAGCAAAAGCTCTCTCTTTGACTCTTTGTGCTTTTTAAAGCCAATGAGAGCGAACCCGCCGTGCAAATGGACACTCAATAAATGGCGTATACCCTGTAAATGGGCGAATCTAAAGGTATGATTTCTCCCATTTAAATGCTATGCAAAGTGAATATAATATAAAATAAAATACATTATATTATATTATAATATAATAAATTATAATATATGCTAAAATATAATATTTTATTAATATTAAATTCACAATATTTTGCTGTGCTCGCGCTCTCAATCAAATTATTAACAATTCAACATGTCCATAAAAGGTAATCTTGAAAGCAAGATATACATATGTACATATGTATATATAAAGCGATTTCAAAGAGAGCGAAAGCTTTTAAATACCATACCAAACATATTTTTGTTAATTACAGTAAAGAGAAGAAAAGCACAAGACTTAAAACGATATCGACACTATTTTGTTAAATAAAGCACACACTTCATTAATGAAGAAAAGTGAGTGTATTAGTTTTATGGAGTACTCGCCTTGTTGTCTGAAATAAGTTCCCAAAGATCTGAAACCGAAGTTCAAATAGATTTGGCAATGCGGCGAACCACAAAGATAAATATCTCCTACAATGTTTGTGCAAAAAAAATACATATTTGATTATTGAGATTCTGCTGACCTTATCTACGGATAACCTGCAAATGACATTCAAACCTCTTTGGGGCCATGTAGCTAATCGTACTTGCACAGTTTCTGACTGTCATTTGTATGTCCATACCTCCGGGGCGTGGAAAATTAAGGAAAACTGTATCATCTATAGTATTATTTTCTACATCTCCCTATATTACTACCTGTTGAGGTTGAGGTAGGTGAGTTGCAGAGCTTTTCCGAAAATGCATCTGAATTCTAAAGTATTCCTCATCTTATGTAGATAATTTTGAAGGTAACCATGACCTCAGATAATTTGTGGAAAATAAAAATATGTCTCAAGCTCGCCTGTAAGTCGTTGGTCTGTTTAAGATTCCAGAAATCACCATTACACATTCTAAGGACAGCTGTATTACCTGGAGCTGATTTAGCTTCCCACCATAAGGATCAAGATGATGGTGATAATAAGATAGAGGTAAAGTCAATAATAACAATGATTGGTTTATTATAGTAAAAATAATATTTTATTTATTAAATAAAGATAGTATGGCTTAAAATTATGATATGTTAAATAGGCTAATATATATATAATAAAATAGAATATATATACAATACAAGATAAGTAATACAAAGTTTAAGGCGAATCACATAGTACATCACTGATCTGCATCGAGTAACCCTTCACTATCATATACGGATAATAGCTCCCGCATTAGTTTCTGGGTTACTGCATTTCTGTAGCAGGCATTCTTGAAGTTGATCGCTCGCTGATCTGTTTTGATTAAAGCATTAAAGTCTGCATCATCCGTTTCCACATTCCTCTGGATGGGAAAGACCCCCAAGCTGGTGTGCATAGCTGCAGATGAAAGCACATTAAAGGACGACCAAGAGAAATACGCAAATATTTAAGACTTACCATAGAAGGACTTCTTCTTCAGCTGCACGTGAAAGTTATGCAAGCTAGGAATATGTGCTTTGTAACGCAGCTTTCTGAGCGTATCCGAGAAGATCATGAAATAGTGCTGAATAAGCTCCTCTTGATGGTGCAAATGCAAATCCAATTGCAGCGACGAGTTCAGGAAATAAAAAAGATCAATGGCCGGAGATCCCCAGACGGCGTACTGGAAGTCAATGATAATGGCATCCTCCGGCTCGGCAGTGTCTTCGTTGTACTTAACTAGAACATTATTGGTCCAGAGATCACCGTGGGCCAGCACATTGATCCCCGGGCTGACGTCGAACACCCGCTTGCCCAGCTCCATGTAGACGGGCACAAGATCTTTCAGTTTCTGTGCATAGTGCTCATAGCCCGGCCATTGGGCCACGCACTTACTGGCGGCCTGTACCATGCCCTCAAATATGGGCGCATAGTTGTCCGTGTGCCGGTTGAACATGCCACGATCGTAGCTCTCCAGGACGCCGTTCTCGCGCTCATTCAGCACGGCGGAGGTGGCGTGCATCTTGGCCAGCTTGCGCAGCACGAGGCGAGCCAGATTGAGATCAAGGCCCACCACGCTTGCTGAGATCATCGAAGACTAGAGCTGAGCGATCGTAGTCAACGGCCATCGTCTCAGCAAAGAGCTGCTCACTATCCCCGATCTCTAGTAGCAGAGCCTTCAGCTTGGGCAGAATCTGTTCATAAACGGACATTTCACGGTTGAATATGTCGTAGGCCTCCATGATTTTGCGTACGAACTCGTTGCTCTCGTATGTGGTCTTGATTATATAGTTTCCAATCTGGGAGTTGCCATCGCCGCTGACGAACTCCGCCGTAATACGGGTCAAGACTCCGCCATAGTTTTCACCGCGCCCTAAGGCCGGGCGACCGTCCAATGCGATGATCCTAAGGTTCGGGTCCCTGTAGAATTGGCGAAGGGCATCCTGCACGTATCTCTGTGTTAGCCACTCCGGCCCACCCGAAATCTGCGTGTCTGCCTCTGAGCTGGAGCTCATTAGCTTTGGAATGGCGTCTAAGGTGCCTATCAGGTCTGAAACTGACATTTCGCTGAGCTACTTTCACTGATCTATCACAATCGAACCCCTTCCACAGCTGCTACTTGGAGACTCAGACTTTTTGTGCCAGACTTTCCCAGTCACAGGGCTTTTTATACAACACCTCGCAGCAGGTGTCGGTGGCGTACTCATATCGCAATTGTGATTTATATCTGAGAGTGCGAGAGATGCTGGCTAAATATTTGCATATTATAAAGTATTTAGTATATTTGTAAATTTATACATAGCGTGCTTACAGATTATATTTAGGCTTTATAAATTGTGCCAAGCCATCCCACTCGCCCATCCAGAGTCGCCCACG